CAAGCCATTCCTGGAGCGAATGACCGACAAGACCCTGAAGGAGACCCTGGCCCAGGGTGTGGCCTACCTGCACGAGGGTCTGTCCTCGTCAGACCATCGTTTGGTGGAGCAACTCTTCGATTCGGGCGCTGTGCAGCTGGCCGTCGTCTCGCGCGATCTCTGCTGGGGCATGAGCATCTCGGCCCATCTAATCATCATCATGGACACGCAGTTCTACAACGGCAAGAATCACTCGTACGAGGACTACCCCATCACGGACGTGCTCCAGATGGTGGGACGCGCCAATCGGCCCAACGAGGACGCCGATGCCAAGTGCGTGCTCATGTGCCAGAGCAGCAAGAAGGACTTCTTCAAGAAGTTCATCAACGAGCCGCTGCCCATCGAAAGCCATCTCGATCATCGCATGCACGACCACTTCAATGCCGAGGTGGTGACCAAAACGATTGAGAACAAGCAGGATGCCGTGGACTATCTCACGTGGACGTTCCTCTACAGGCGATTGACCCAGAATCCCAATTACTACAATCTCCAGGGCGTCACACATCGCCATCTCTCCGATCATCTGTCCGAGCTGGTGGAGAACACTCTCAGTGATCTGGAGCAGTCCAAGTGCATCAGTGTCGAGGACGACATGGATACCCTGCCGCTCAATCTGGGCATGATTGCGGCCTATTATTACATCAACTATACGACCATTGGTAAGGTGCGGACAACTTTCTGCAAGACCCCACTATAATGTCTCTCTTTCCGCCTCCACAGAGCTCTTCAGTTTGTCCTTGAACAGCAAGACCAAAGTGCGCGGCCTGCTGGAGATCATCTCGTCGGCAGCGGAGTACGAGGATGTGGTGGTCAGGCATCACGAGGAGCAGGTCCTGCGCACTCTGTCCCAGCGCCTGCCCAACAAGCTCACAGGACCCAATGAGACGGCACCCAAGTAGGTTTCGATTCGCTCACCAATCCTCCATCCACATCCACATCGCCATCTCCATCCCCATCCGTGTTGACGACTAACAATTCTCGCTTCCCACAGATTTAATGATCCGCATATCAAGACCAATTTGCTGCTCCAGGCACATCTGTCGCGGCTGCAGTTGGGACCCGAACTGCAGGGCGACACGGAACAGATATTGAGCCGGGCCATTCGTCTGATACAGGCCTGTGTGGATGTTTTGAGCTCGAATGGATGGCTTTCGCCGGCCGTGGCTGCCATGGAACTGGCCCAGATGGTCACCCAGGCCATGTGGACCAAGGATTCCTACTTGCGACAATTGCCTCACTTTAGTGTCGATATTGTCAAGCGATGCACTGAGAACGTAAGACCAGAGGATAACTCTGCCAGCAATTCTCTCTGACCAATTCCCGTTTTGTTTTGTTTTTTTTTTTTTCAGAAAATCGAAACTGTTTTCGACATCATGGAGCTGGATGATGAGGATCGTTCGCTTCTGTTGCAGCTCTCCGATGCGCAGATAGCCGATGTGGCCCGATTCTGCAATCGGTATCCCAACATTGAGCTCAACTATGAGGTGGTCGATAAGGACCGCATCAATTCGGGATCCACGATCAATGTGGTGGTCCAGCTGGAGCGCGAATATGAGGTCACCGGCCCCGTCATCGCACCCTTCTTCCCGCAGAAGCGCGAGGAGGGCTGGTGGGTCGTTATTGGTGATCCCAAGACTAATTCCCTGCTCTCCATCAAACGCCTCACGCTCCAGCAGAAGGCCAAGGTCAAGCTGGACTTTGTGGCCCCCAGTCCGGGCAAACATGACTATAACTTGTACTACATGAGCGACTCCTACTTGGGCTGCGATCAGGAGTACGGTTTCTCCATCGAGGTGGGCGATTTCCAGTCGGAGAGTGAGAGTGAATCGGAATAGGAAGCAGGTTAAGATTAGGAAATGCTCAGAAGCCTAGGCGTCTAGCACAGCATAAATATACAATTTTTCCACATATTTCATAATTTCCATTTTTTTCCCATTTTTAATTATAATTCTTTACATAATATTGCTACACTCATAATTACATCAATGCTCAGTCCGATCGGGCCCCAGGCCCCAGGCCTGGCTATATCAAACGTGCAAAATGAAGGTCCTCACTCAGGACACAGGGCATCGGGGGTTTGTAGGACTGGTCGCAAACGATCAGGGAAGCACAGAATGGTGTAAATCGGACGACAAATGGTTAAATTAAATTAAAAATCTTTAAAAAACACCCCGTTTAAAAGGTATTCTCCTCATTATGGTCCTTGACGTAAATCTGGCGTAGATTCAAGCGATTGGGGATGTTCTCCAATTACAAGAAGGCGGGCACGTCCAGATAGGGTGAGAAATGGTACAGGCAATATCCTTATTGTCCTTGATGGCCCTAAACGTTCGGGGACATTCTCCCGATTACGGGGAGGCGTGGCACGTCCAGATCGGATGTATAGTGGAGGAATTGGATGATTTTTAAACTATAGCATACTTTCAGGCTGGCCGAAAATAGGAAAGCGTAGTTTCGGAATGGGCTTATAAAAAGTAAGGCATACATTCGGGCGGAGGCTGATAAGGACTCCATCGGCTCGCAAATAACAGAAACCTAAATATGTGAAAGGGGAAAATGTCCTTAATCCTTGATAGGGACTGCATCAAACAAAGGACATTTGTGCTATCACAGGAAGTTGGCCTACAAATACCCAAGAAATCTAAATATGAACATATGGCTGGCGATGTCGAGGTTCTTATCTAAGGATCAAGGATATTTTTCTGATCACAGGAATCCATGACTGCAGAAAATATCCTTGATCCTTGCTGAGAACTATCAGGTCAAGGATGTTCACAGGATCACAGGAACAGGATCTCCAACAAAAACCCTCAAATAAGATTTTAAATCGGGATACCAGGCGAACAGAGTTTCGACGGTTATTTTACATATACTTTTTGTAGTGTTTTGAGTATTTTCTAGTACTTTTTAAAACGCTTAACCGACTCCGGTTTCCGCAAATTTTTGTTATCGATCGTGTTTTATTTCCAAATTATTATGCACTATTTCACTTGATGAAAAAATTTGTTTTTCTTTTCAAAATTGAATCATTTTAGTTAAATATGCCATCGTTTTTGGCAATCTCATTATAAGAAACCAAAAATGGCGACAAACTCGATATTGATATCGATATTGTATCTGTTAACGGGAATTCGCAATTTGTTGTTTCAAAATTATCGGATCGAATGATCTGGCTAACCCGAAAATTAAAATCGCACAGCTAGCAAGCCCCCTCGAAAACTTTCTTCCTAAAAACATATATTAAAATTATATAAATTTCATTCGAAAATTAGCGTTTATTTGCACACTGAAAATAAAAATCTGAATATTGGATGTGGATCCCCAGCTGTCGAGCGATTAGCGGCTCACAGACACTGCTGCGCCGTGACTGCTCCCCCTATTGGCCCCGTTGTTGGCAAAGCTATTGGTGGAACTGAAATTGATCGTCTGGCCGTTCGGCAGCTTGTAGACCTGACTCAGGGAAGCTCCAGCGGCATTGTTGATGCCGAATGGACTGATGTTCTGCGACTGGGTGGCTGTGCTGGCGGAGGAGGCGCCGAAGGAGCCATTAGCGGTCTGCGACTGGAATCCCTGGGCCTGGGCATCGGCCGCCGAGGAGCCGGCATTGAATCCGTTGTTGTAGTTGCTGTGGGCAGCGCCGTTGGAGGCAGCCTGTTCCTGGTTGAAGCCGCTGGGGCCGAGAGGACCGAACGGATTCAGCTGGACATTGGCATTGGCATTGCCGCCGTCGGGTCCGGCGCCGACAACAACACCGGCATTAGTTCCCCCAGCTCCTGCTGAGGTGCCTACCTGCGTGGCACCGCCTCTCCGGCCACGCTTCACCCGCTTGTGGGTCGCATAGATGCCTTGGAGGGGGGAATCCGCTGAATCTGCCGAACGTACGCGTCTCATCTGCTGTGTAGCCTTGGGCTTGATGTACAGCGCAGACTCCACGACCACTTCCTCAATGGTGGCCCCCTTGTATGCTGCAGTTGGAACATTATCGTTGAATAATAGCACGACTTAAAGAATATTTACACTTACGGAACTCATCCTCGACCGTCTGGACCTGCTTCTCGTTCCGTTGTCTCAACTGAGGCGCTGCTGACGCAGCCCCCAGCCAGACGACACCCACAATTAGTACAAAAATTGACAAATTCATTTTGGCTCTGTTCTCTGGGCGAGATCGTAGCTGGACACGTCCGCTGGCTACGAAGCTTCAATAAAAACTGTTTGAAAATATCTATCTCCGCCTTTCTGCCGATCAACTCTCACTTTTCAATCGCCACGGGGGGCGTCCCCTGAAACGATCTCGTTAATGGTTTCCATCAATAATCCAAATATGTTTCAGCAAATAAATTTACACATATACATATATGTGTATATATGTATATGTGTGTGTATGGCCAACAGATTTTGGCACATGTAACAGGCAGAAGCATTTAATAATGTTATATTATGTAGGAAAAAAACGATTCGAAACGGCTGTACAAAAGCCGAAACCGGTTTTCCAAATTGACTTTTTTCAAAGAGTAAAGCTCGTTGAGGAACTAGTTTGGTTTTCTTTTGTTTTGTTTATTTTGTGTTGCCCCTGCTGTGGGCTTGATTTCCTTTTCTGGAAACAGATGTTGCTCCCCCTCTCCCTAGCAGAACTTTTTCTGAGGCGGCATGTGGAGGCGGAGAAGGCGAGAGAGAGACAGAGAGAGCGCGAGATGGATGCCGTGGTTGTGTCTGCGATTGTGTGTGTAGGGGGCAGGCAGGGCAGCATCCCAGTGAACTTATTGATTTGGGGATTTCTCAGCCCAAGCGATTGTTCGGTTTTGCACTTGAGTCGAGTGTGCATCAGTACAATTTGAGTAAATCTTTTATTATTACTTGTTCCTTGTTTAAACTACTATAAGTATTGATAATAATTTCAAAACTTTAAGTAAAATGTGCTCTATAGGAATTGAAACACAAATAAAGACACTCACATGGTCCAAAAAACGGAAGTGAATATAGAACAATAACAAATATTTTTTTCTTCCTTGAGATCGCTTAATTAGACAAAAAGAATAATGTATTTGTTGTTGCGTGTATAAATGGGAGGAATAATTTTTTACGAACTAAATAGAGAAACAATGATCCGAAATAAATGTATATTCTTTTGTACAACTTGAGAGTCGTCATGAGGCGCTTGAATGGTATGATGATTTTTCATTTGAGTGAGAGCTTTCTAGCGAGCGTTTTCTTAGTTCTAACGCTACACGATGATCAAAACCGACTGCACGATTTTGATCCCTAAACTTAATGTTTATGTTAATGTTAATGTTAAGGAATCAACAAAACTGAGCACTGTTGGGATATTGTAAGAACTTGACCTAAGATAAGTAGTGTTAATGGGCCTATTCGATGCCATGGGCAAAGATCATAACCAGGCCCGGATCGATCATCACATCCTCAGTCATGTGTAGGTTATCGCAGCTCAGCACGAGCACAGCTTGTTTGCCTGGTGGATAGGGATATAGAGATGTCTACGGGCTTATGTGGAGGGGAATCTTCACCCACTCACCTGGAATGCGCCGACAGATATAGTTATCATAGATTCTGCGGTTATTCTGACGCGTTTCTAGCGAGCTAAGGCCCCGCGGCCAGCGTCTCTCGTGGCAGAACTCCATTAAACTATCCAGAATGTGTGGTGGGCAGCCCGACTCGGACAGAGCGCGCTTGATCATGAGCTGAAATGAATTAGAGATGGTGTAAGTCACTCCAGCTGTGCACACAAATCTTCGCAAAACACTCACTTGCAGTGCATCATCGGGCGTAGAGATCATTCCCCCCCAGCGTGTGACCCTGGCCCGGGGCAGGGCGCTACTCCAGCGAATAACCTCGTCACGCTCCATCTGGTCGGCTATCGCGCGCATGGCCGGATTGGAGACGCGCATGGCACGCATAAAGTCCTTGAACAATTGCAGTTCCCTTTTCAGTTCGTTGATGGTCAGCTGCTGGTCAGTAAGCTCCGATTTGAGCTCGCCCATTTTCTCCGTTTGCTTGACGATCAGCGTGCGCAGCTCCCTCACGCAATTGTGATCCTTTAGCTCGTCCTTGGGTATGTCAAAGCCGCATCCTTTTTCACAGGGAAAGGGTCGCTTTGGATTGTGGATACAGTCCTCCAAATGGGAATTATATACGTCTAGTTTGAGCACAGCTGTGCAGCCATACGGTGCATTGTCGCAGGTAATTGATAGTCTGAATGTGTGTGTGTGTGATTAGATGAGGGTAGAGAATGCCGTGGGTAGTGGGTGGTCAGTCGGTCTCACCTGGACAGTAGGTTGCGCAATATGCGAGGCACGGCTCGCAGATTGGCTGTCGTCAGAGCGTTGCGATCCACGGGACATGTGGGCTGCCGTGTCAGCCATTCGTTGATGCACCCGCGACAGAAGGCATGCTCGCACATGACTGCCTGCAATAACAAAATTATAAGTTGCACTCAGAAGAACTCTCGTTCCGGGGGCAAACAAACCTGCAGCGGATCCTCCAGAACCCCAGAGCATATGGGGCATGTTAGCTCCTCGTCCACTTCTCCTTGAAATCGATTGACATCGTAGCCCATTTTTGGATTAAGGCCTTTTGTTCCTCAACATAAAGACAGACAATTTTAATAAATCATTTTTCAGATTGCAAAATCTTTTTGCTGCGCTTGTTTCGTTTCAGTACTGTAAAATGTCAAAAGTATATATTTTCGTAGAGCTGGACTATCGGCCGAAGTCAAAATTGAACTGACAGTATATTTACGGTATATCGGTATATAATGGTATATTTTGTCAATTTCATCAATCTATCAAATTTAATTTTCAAAGGTTTATAGAAAATCCAACAAAAGCAAGTGTTTAAAGTATGTAGGCATGGCTGAGAGATCTATCTAGCTAGTAATATTTGACGGAAGATCAAAAACCAAGAATATGTAAAATAGAAGTTGCATTCGTCAGTATATTTACGGTTTTGTTTTTTAAATGAGACGGTATGTTTCGGTATATTTCTGAGGCTCGGACGGTAAATTTGAACGATAAATCCGGCCACCAGTACCTGCACCGAACATGTCGAAAATTAAATAGTCCACAAATGCTAGAAACTACACATGCAAAATGTAACGATACGTGTGCATCCATTCCTTCAAATACGCTGGAACCACAGGCGAAAACAGAAACCAAACAAAACAAAGCATACAATCACATATTTTTGTGTGTGTTATACTAACACTTGCATGGCTCTGCTGGACTGACCGAACGCCAGAGCCGAAGACCCTAGGATCCAATCCAATTCGGTGTATGAACTGGCACATCTATAGACTATATGGTTGGTGCTAGTACTCAGATCAGCTAAATTTTTTGTAGACTATTTTCGAACAATTTAAAATGATGTTTAACATATGTATTTCCAGTAGAATTCACTAGCCCGTGACTGTGTTTCATTGGTAAGAATATCCATATATGTATTTGTTTATTAGGGAGATACTTTCTTTGGTGTATAAATATAAAAATTCAGATTCGTCAGTTAGAGCCTATTTCCATTATTGGCAGGAAATGGGCTCCACTAAAAACTAACATGAAACGAAGTTTAACAGCAACATTTAACACATACTTAATTATAAATCCTTTTATACGTCCATGCGTTAGCTATGTGCTATATCTCATTGCGATCCTTCCAGCCAAACTTCTGGCGCTGCTGCTTTTCCTTGCTGTTTGCATACTTGTTTCCATTATAGGAGGTCGGTTTAGCTGGGGCACAGTAGCAAGAGCGCTTCTGTGAGTCTAGAAACGACCTGCAGCCGAGCGTTAGAGTGCCGGTGAATAGCATCTTGGCGGCGGCTTTGCATCCCTTTGTCATCAGGTCACTGGTTAGGGATTTCTCATAGCTGTCGCAGTACTTGTAAAGGCACCGCTTGAAGTCCAGGTCGCATAGCTCCTTGTCACTGTTGCACGTGTCGTAGCAGATGTCGTGGTCGTTGCAGCAAGTTTCCATCTCCACTGCCGGCAGGTAGTCCGTGCTTATGCGCAATCCCAGGGAACCGCAGCCGTCTGCGGTCGGTGTGTAGAATTTATTTTGAACGGCTCGGGGGGCTGCAAATCCACAAAACACACGTCAGTTGTCATAGTGTATTGAACATTTACATAATTCGAACACAATTTGCGTCACAGTACCTGGGCCCCCACCGTCTGGCGGTGGACACTGATATACGCAGTTCTCCTCCACGGCAGCATCGAAGACTTCGTGGACGGTGCGAAATTTGCGTACAACTGTGATGAGATTCTTGAACACGTCACCAAATATGGCCTCGGCGGCAATGATGGCATCCCTTAGCTGTTCAGGGTGATAGAATCACTGCGGATTAAGTAAGGGTGAAGTGCATTCATTCCAAAGGAGCTCACTTACATGAACAATTGTGCTTGATCCGTAGCCGGAGTAGGCGTATGTGAGAAACGTCAGTAGGTATATGGCCACTTTCATCCATGAGAACTGCATCTTGCGTTTGATATCGGCGTAAAACTAATCTTTTATTGCGACAACGATATAGAATAAACTGCAGGGTTTTTTGTTTGATTTTCAAACAGCTGTTTATCACTACAGCGCCATCTATAACAGCGATTATAACGTTGCGATTGTCAGCACAACAATCGACTTATCGGCGGGAAAATTCAAAATGTTCTTTATACCCCTAGCACTCACTTTAAACGATCTATCCATACAAAAACAGCTGATGAGCATATAATAACAAAGTTTTGGTCTAAATTGTGAATTTTCAACAAGATCAAATTATCAAATTGGCTATTCTTGCAGCAGTTCTGTCTGGAAGTTGGTTCGGCCGTGGATCCTGTAATTTCTGCAGCTCCTTCGGGATCTTAAGCATTTCCCGAGCAATCTCCAGTTTAATCCGCTTCGGTGAGGCGCAGAATGGATACTAGAACTGCAGTTGAATCTTGAATCCTGGTCGACAGAATTAGCTCGGGGCACCCGTAAGTCCGCAAATACATACATACATTGCATGTATGTACATATGTATATTTAATAAACTAACTACCTCGAGTTTCTGCTTTCTCCATTTTTGTTGTTTCTGGGTTTTTTGTTTGACGCATCTTCAAAATGCATGGTGGTAAGTGTGAATAATGTAAATGGTGTTTTTGTTTGTTTGAATGTTTTCTTGAGTTTCTTATATGAGTATCAAACTCATAACCTCCTGTTCAGCAGCCTGTCCAGACCATGACATGCCGTCCAGTCTAAGGAAACTGCTCGTCTATGCCACATTGCATACTCAAGCAGGTGACTGGGGTGTCCTTGCCCTTGACAGCAGGACGACTGCAGCAGCCTTAAACACACACTCTTGCAACACATACACACCTATGTAGGTACGAATATTTTGTAGCAGAGCAAGCGAACATCTCGTGCCTGCTTTCGCTTAATTATAACATCAAATTGAAATGCATAAAACAATTGTACGAGTGTGTGGCACCTGAAATGTGGCTCTGGCACGCAGGCGTCTGAACCGACTAACTGCCGCCGCCTGACCTTGTCAAGCTTGATTACAACAGCCAACACAATCAACATAAACATGCAAGCCGAACCGAAACGAGACGAACCGAAGCAAACCAAAACCCAGACCCCAAACCCAAAATCCCAAAACGCCAAAATTCAAAATCCAAAACAGTTGAAGAGCCATTCGCTGTTTGCTTACACTTGGGAGGGCTCGTAAATATAGTACATTTCCCAGAGTTTTCTTCGCTGCTGCTGCCGCTGCTGTTGCCATGATGTCTACTAAAAACAAACAGAACATTTTCAGACGTCTGTCTATACATACATATATGTATGTATATTAGAGGTATACGAGCACACACTGTGTAAATTAGCCAGACACACAATGGGCTCCCTTATCACGGACAACTTTTACATCCACCGATCCTGTTGGCCACTTTGTGCCGCCAAACCATTTAAGACCATAAGAGGAACAACACTCGAGGCCCAACAGCAACAGCACCAGCACCAGCACCAGTACACCAGACATGGGCACTGGCACTGGCACACACATGGAGAGCAAACACAAACATCCAATGAAGCTCCACAGCATCTCTCGCAGCATCTCTGGCAGCCCCCCAAAGCTCAAAGCGTCATCGTCATCGCCATCGCCATCGCCATCATCATCATCAATGTTCGTTCGCTGGCGCTGGTGCTGTTGCTGCTGCTGCTGCCCCTGCCACACTGCCACACCATATTGCCATCAAGTGGGGGCCGACGCCGACTCCGACAACGAGAGCTCTGGCAAACGATTCGCAGATTTTACGTTTCAGTTTCGTGCAAAACGTGGAAGCGGCTGGTCAACAATACAAACCCCACAAAAGTACTACAGAAAGATAATCTGAATCAAATCTGAATAATCTGAAATATCTGAACAAATCTGAAAAATCGGCATTGGAAAATCTCCGAAAATTCAAATTGTCCGAACGTTGTGGCAACTTTTTTGATTAATTACACATAATTCGGTTTCGGTTGATTTGCATATTGCAATTGTTACAGCTTGCAGCTAAAAAAAGGTATAACCAAAACAAAACAAAACAAAACAACAGCAATAGCAATAGCAGTAGCAGTAGCAACAGACACAGCAAAGGCAACAGCAACAGCAACAGGGTAAAAACTGCAAGCTGCAAAACCGGAAATTCTAGATGTCTCGGATCTCACGATCCCCAAGAAGGCAGACTGACTATAAACCAAAACAAACAAACAAAAAACACTTGAAGTTGCTGTAAACTAAAGCGGTACTTTGTCTTCAGAAGCAAAGCGCGACAAACCGAATCGAACAGAATCGCAAGAAAACAAAAGCACAAAAAAGCATAAGCCCACAAAAAAGTGACACAAATAAAGCAAAGCAAAGCAGAGCAAAGCAAAGTATCGCCGCCGCCGCCGCCTTTCCCGGGGTCCAGTGTCGTCCAGTCGATCTGGCGTACCTATAGCAGCCCATGAGAAAACGCTGAGTGTTGAGTTTATTTCTGATTTTTGTTTCTGTGTCGGTTTCTGCGGGTTTCGCTTTTTTTTTGTTCCGTTGTTGTTATTATTGTTGCTGCTGTGGCCAGCAGAAGAAAGAGGAAAAATCGACGGAAAATCGTGCGCTCTTAAAGTAACATATTTATTTTTAACAATTTCGCAAGCGTTCAAATTTTGCTCCAGCAAAAAATTAGAACTCAAAGCCAGACAGACAGACAGACCGACGGACAGACGGAGAGACAAGAATATAGATCGCCAGCGATCGTTAAGAAAAACCAAAACAGCCGGCAATTGTGGCTCTTTAGCTGGGATCTAGCTGGGTGAGTAATCCATTAATACTCGTTCTCGTACGAAGCAGTGTAAAAAGTGGCCAGCAGCAACAATCTATTCATGTTTGCTTTCCAAAATAGAAAAAAGTGAAGACCGATTCGCTTGATAATTATGATTTGAGCACTAAAATTAGCCGAGCTTATTTAATTATTGTAATTAGCTAATTGGGAACAAGAGGAAATGATTTATTTTCATATTTGGAGTGAAAAAGTTGTGCACTTGCTCGTAGTCTTAGTTAGTTTCCTATTCTAGAGGAACGCCGCCCCTACATTTAGGTAATCTCTTTGGCTATCCATTGGATCCCTGCTCCTAGATTAGTTTATCTCAATTTGGTGGGAGTTCCTTTTTTGGCTATTCTCCCATCATTTCTTCTGTCTAACCGCTTTGTTCCATGTAGTTGACCCCATTTATAAAGCCTTTCTTCATGCCTCACTCCCATAACTCTCTCGCTTCGGAGTAAGTCAAGGACAGCACTTCAATTTTTTGCCGCAACTTCCTAATACGCATAAACCATAAAAGTTTTATGTATTTTCATCACCAAATATTGTACCATGGAACTAGCACAAGGACAGCGGAAAGGAAATACTTCTTGCTCTATAAAAACAAATCCATAAATCTCTTTCGCCCTTATATGAGCTCGAGAAACCCCCTTCCGAAGGACAAGAACAGCACACAAGAAACAAGAAACAAAGCGTGTGGCAGGGGGTTTTGTCGTGTTATGATTACATTTTGCCGGCATTATTTTTGATGATTATTGCCATTTGGGGTTTATTGCCCAGAGAGTGAGAGAGAGGGGGAAAATCTGTATTTTGTCAACTTGAAATGGGCAATGAATTTTCGTTTTTGGTAACACCCAGATCGTTAATACGAACGCATGCACTTATTCATAATTACATTTCTTGATACTTGGTTTCCTGGTGGACGCAAATTAATAATAATCCCACCAACGCCTACAACAAATTCTCTTTCTCTGTTCAAAAATACACCGATGACGATGATAAAAATATGAGAAGCTCTTGCTTGTTTTTCTTCTTCTTTTTTTTATATACTTCTATCCATATATCACACCTATACATACGTAATATGTACATATGCATGTATCGGAACAAATCGTTTCACGTTGCTTTTAATTAATTAATAACATAATTTATACGCTGGCCGGGCCAACGAATTAATAAATGCTGCAAACATTGAACGTAAATTTAATTCTGGGAATCAGAGTTCAAGTGGCCAGCAGTCACAAAATTAAGCAATCTCATCTTGTTTCTGGTTACCCCAAAAGTATTTTCTAATATTCTGTATAAATCAAAGTGCCTTAATTTGAGGTGTGCCTAGAGAAGCCACCGTCAGGGGAAGAGTTTCATAATTTTTGGAACGAGAAAATCGTCCCAAAAAAGAAAATGAAATAAAATCTTTAAGAAAACAGACAGATTTTGGCAATAAATTAGCTGGGGCGAAGATGGTCAGGAGATGAAAAAGCAAACGTATTATAAATAGGGAAAAAAAGAGAGGAAAGTGATGAGGTGATCTGGAAAGTCCCCGCGGGAGAAGGCTACTTCTGTTTGTTTTTCTAAATAATAATCAAACATTATACTGAAACTAAAAGTGCATTGCCCCTTTCGGGTACAGGAACAGCCATTTATCTGTAGCATTTCCAAATCCTCCCCAGATTTATGTTTAATTTCACTTTCATTCACCTGGTCTTTTCGGCAAACTTTTCGATCATTTATGTGATTATTTAGTATACAATTTTCGATGGGCTTTTTCCATTCACGAAATCAGACAGAATAGAGTGCTGGCCACCGGAAGATTAAGCAACAATTTAACATTTTGGCTCTCGACGTAGTCTCGACGACGACGACGACTACGACGACCCCAATTTCCATTTCCATTTCCATTTTCAATTTTTGGCAGCCACCAAGGTGAATGGGGTGAATGGTGGGGCGCTGCTCAGAGTGGGCTATATAGATCCAAGATCCGACTACCGACCGTGTGTCCGACTGTTTTTACTTGCTGTAGCTGTAGCTGTAGTCTATGGCTAATTTACAGTCCCCCCAATAATTTTTTGAGAAATTATTCTCAAAACAATCGCATGCCATGCCATGGACTCTGCCTCGGACCATTTTAAGTTATATTTCCGCACTTTTAGTGCCCGAAAATGTGCAAAAACGTTAAACTCGTACATAAATAATTCTGAGTGACAGATCGTTCATAAAATCTATACATATGGTTTCTGTAATAATAATACAAATACAAATATAAAACAAAGGCAAAAATCAAATAAATATTTTTGTTTTTTTTTTTTGTTTTGTGAATACCAAAAATAACAAAACATTCTATTATGACAAGGTTTCTCCATAATAAAATACTGTAAATAGTATTAGTAATGTTTTTTTTTGATGCGCAGTAATATATGTACAAAGTGGTATATATAGGTATTTATTTAAGTATATTATACAGAACGTTAGGGATTTGCCTTGTCATTAGAGCGTGAAGCGTGTGAGGTGAATTATTTTGTTGCTTGTGTTTCGGTTGGGATGTGAGACAATTGACGTACATATGTATGTATGTTTGAGAAATTTTCGAAGATCATACACAAAAGAGCAAGGGAATATTGCAGGATTTACTGTGAACAAAAAAAAACCGAAAGTCGCGGAAGATTGTTTCATATTCTTTCATTTCTCTGCCCTCGAAATGTATTCAATCTATGGACTTTTCCTCATATGCCCCATTTTAATCCCGACTTTAATATCAGCTGCCAGTCCCGTCGAATCCATTGTCATAGTCTTGGCCTTTGGTGCAGCCAATACCCGCCATTGGCTAATGACTCACTCATCAATCCTTTCCATTTCTTTCTTTCCTCTTTCCGATGCCCCATTTTGGGGTTGCTTTTTGTGCAATCTTTGAATCAATTGAATGCTCTTCTACTCGTATTGCTTGGCTGGCTGGCTGGCTGGCTGTCTGGCTGTCTGGTTGGCCTAGATTCATCCGGCACTCGCTTAAACAATAAAAGCCACTCAGGCCATAAGCCATAAGCACTCGAACTGGTAGATGATTATTGATTTTTATATTCGAACATCCATATAGATAGATGGCCCATAGGTTTTCATATTCAGGCCGTTTCCTTTACTTTTCTATCGTTAAATTAAATGCATCAGTGCATTGGGGCGGCACCGCCAAGACAGACCCAAGTCAAATCAAGTCAAGTCAAGTCGAGAGTTCTTGGCGCCTTTGTGTCTCGGCTATTAAGTTACTCGTCTGGGGGGACACGACACTCTTGGTCTTTCTTTTGTTGTGGGACTTGGCACAAGGCACGGGCACAGGCACAGGCACAGGCACCCAGCCAGCTAGGCACCCAGCCGGCTAGGCAGCCAGCCATCAAATTGAATCACGAATGCATTCATTGTTAATAATAATATTAGTATGTGATATTAACTGGAGCGCCTCGATTGTGCCGGGAGATGGAAGAAAAGGAACCCTTTGGCAAACACACATACATACACGGTATATAGGACTCAATTTTCCCATCCTGACAATCAACAATGCCGTTGTTGTCTGTCCGCCTGCATGTCCTCCGATAAGACCCGAGACAGACACGGGGCCCACTTGTTGCTGGACACTGCTGTTGTTGCACTGCTGACCAGCGGCCATGTCATTTCACTTTCAATTTATGCGCACCACAAAAGCTCCCCTCTCTGCTCCCCTCTGTGTCAGGCCCAAATACAAAAGGAAGCATCCATCCAATCACCGATCAGCCCCGCCGTTGGTTAATTAAACGACTATAGGTCCGGACTATACCTCATGGAAATTGTATAGAACAAAAAGACTGTCAGCGAGAAATAAAGTAGATCGGCGTTAAATAAGATAAATCAAAGATTTCAATAAGACATTCAGTAGCCCATCTATCGCCCATCGATATTCGAATTGAAAGCCGTCAAAATCTGGTCATCTATCAGCAGATATTGGCCACAAAAGGAAACCATTTCAACCATTTCAAAAGGCGTATTCCACACAAAGCTTTTAATCAAAATTTCCCTTCCAATTCTAAGCCATTTCTGTGTTCATTGCTATTTGCAGGAAGAACAACATAACAGGGCCAGCGAGAGCAAGAGCCAGAAGGAAACGCAGGACAATTGAGGAGGAGCCAAGGATTGGCAGAGATATGTCCGCAGCCGCTTGCGCCCGCTTCTGTACGCCGTTGACAGCTGGAGGCGGTGGCGGCGCCAACAAAGCCAAGTCCAACACATCAGGCACAGGATCCTCGTCAAAATTGACAACAGGAACAGGAAACAGCAGCATGACGTCATCGTACAAGAAGAAAAGTCCAGCAAGTGACACCAACACAGAGGCGTCGTTCACATTCAAATTGGGCCGTGCAAATGGCAGCAGCGGCAACGGCAGCAGCAGCCACGGTGTGGGTGGCGGTGGCGGCGGCCATAGCGTTGCCTCAAGTGAGTCATCAGATCCTTTGGAATCCGATTACAGCGAGGAGGAAGAAGAGGAGCCAGAGCCGAAGCCGGAGCAGAGCAGCCACGTAAGCAGCCGGAGCAGCAGCAGTGCCACAACCACAACAAGCTCCGCTGACCATGAAAATGAGGTGGACGAGGAGGAGGACGATGACGATGAGAATGATGGCGATGGTCGTGACGGCGACGACGTTACCAATGATTCCAACGAAAGCATCGAGGAGGATGACGGCAATGAGACCGACGACGAGGAGGACGAGGATGACTCCGATGAGAGCAGCAGTGTCCAGACGGCCAAGGGAGTTCGCAAATATCACTTGGACGACTACCAAATTATTAAAACTGTGGGTAAGTCATACTAATATATTACGACAGCGACAGCTGTTTACATTGGGTTCCAGGCATCGCATCGAGTGATTGATTGATGTTAAGGTCTCCCTCGGGCTACCTTCAACTTGTCTGCCCAGAGATTTCCATGTGTTTTGTTTGTGTTTAGAGTGGAGCTATCAAAACACATTACGAGTACGAGCTCTAGGTCGGTTTAAGCGTCAAGGCTTTGATGAGATCATAAGGATAGATCGCATAGGGTGCACCAAGAGCCCCCAAACGGCTTCCATACCACATCACCAATGATTCTGTACTTCTTCGATTATTCGATTATGTGGTTTCTGGAAGAGTTTTCTCACCTGTTCAATCAATTCGTTTTCATCTGCAGTTATTTCATCTGGATAGAATTGATTCGCATACACCTTTGTCCCTCTCTATCCCCCCTTCTGGCTTTTGATTTTGTTTGCTATTCTTTGATTTCGTTCCGCGATTTAATTTCAAATATTTATTACCTCATTTTTTATGCATCATCTGGCCTAATGTTTGCTCTAGCTTAACGCTAGCTTCAGTTTTTCTATTGCTTTTTATTCCTTTTAAATACGTAAATAAATTCTTATTGATTACGCAAATTGAATGGGCCACGGGGATGGTCGGATGGTTTGGCCGGTTCTTATGATTATTATGAGCATCTACACACCGCAGAGCAGGGGCCAAGGAAATTGTTCTCCTCTCATTGCTCATTGCGTAAAAATTCATTTAGAAAATATTTAAAGTGTAGTTCGTATACGAGTATACGAGTATACTTCTACTATATTTTTGGACTCTGTTTAGGATCATGAATGGGTCTTACGTTCTCGCATAGACACTCAACCCATTAATGCCCATAATATTTTGATTTGTTTTCCCATTTTGACGTCTTCGCTGGTGTGGGAGATGGCGAAAAATAGAGAGAAAAGAAAGAAAAACATTTAGGCATTGTATTAAGTTTAGTACACCATTGGCGGGGTTTTCCAAAATCTCATTAAGCGGTTGCGGCATAAATATTTACTTGGTTTGAGGCTAAATCGGGACGTTTTCAAGATTTATTACTCCTGCATTCAGCTTTGAGTACACGTGTGGAGCTCTCTGCGTCGTGGTTTCAAAGTATCATTTCAAACATTTATTTATCGATCGTTTTTGGCTCGGAACAACAGTTGGGATCCATTGAAGGTTCCTTAAAATCAATGTGGGAGTAAGTAATTGCCTCAAGAACATTTATTTCTTCGACCTTTGGCATAAAAACAATCAAGTATAATTATACTGATTTTTAAATGGTTGTGGGAGTAATTAATCGGTTTTCCACAGAACGCGATCCTACCACATTAGATGGTCTCAGAAGTCTGCCTGCAGGCTTCCATTTTCTGTTTAGAAGATCACCCTAGATCTCTGGAAGTCATGCCCTATGCCAAGAATAGGATGCTCGAATGCCTTTCCGGTGTGAATTCATTCTCTGAAATTCCTCAATCAGCAACTTTCACCTCGAGTGAGTGAGTAATTCCGGCGGGTTCCTTTCCGCATCGGCTTTCAGCATCCAGTGCTATAGCACGCCACACGACGAATGAGTAATCTAGCATTAATTTCAAACAATTGCCACACAAACATGGAATCGGCCAAAGGTATTGAGTACGATTTTCAAGAAAAATCCGTAAAAAGTAAATAAACCAGAGCGGATATCATGCTATGCACGCGCACATGGCAGAGCCAGGGGAGTACGGATGGAAATGGGATTCGGATTCGTATTGGGATTGGGGATTGGGGATTGCGGATTGCGGACTGGGGACTGCAGAGAGAGAGAGAAAAAATGCGAGTGAGTCACGCTTCTATTAGGGCATACGGAAAATAATCAGCCTGCCCCCCCCTTGCGGCTATCCATTTTGATAATAACAATAACCATAAGAACAATAGCCAGGAGCTGCGGGCATCATCATCATCGCATGCAGTAGCCATAATTGGGAAAAACCAGGGGATGTTGAGAGCTATATTGAATGGGAAGAAGGAACAAAATGCATTGAACCAACAGCAAAACATTGCCCCTTCGCCACCCCTTAAGACTTTCAGTAAATATTGATAGTGCGCTCGATGCTTGTATGAAATTCCATTGATTAACTGAAAGTTCACCTCACGGACCACCACAGGTTTCTCCCGTGCAGACTCTTGTCTGATTCAGTCATGGCAAGTGATGGAATCCAAAACAAAAAACACCAACACCCAACGGGGATTTCCTTGAGGGAAATTTCCCAAGAAATGTTTTCCCAATTTTCGAAAAACAACAACAGATCTTTTGTTTTTCCCTTGGACAAACAAATGAAACAAGCTCTTGTTTTGTGCATGTTCTGCCTGCATGTCTTTCTATACCCAAACACCCAAGAAAAAGGCCATAAACACACAATATATCGCTAGAGCTGTCATATCGATGGTTGGGGCTGCAATTAACACCGAAGTGGAATAGACTCTCTCGAAAAGGAAATCTTTGTCTATCGGGAAACTGGATTGCGAGTGAAAGTTCGTGGCAGGTGGCAATGTCATCATTAAGGCATCCGGGAGAAAAGTAAGGAGCTATGTTCTGGGGATCTGTAATGCTGCCCAAAGATCAATGATCTATCAGAGAAGTTTGGCAAATGGAAAAGAGCCCCCCATGTGACTATTTGGTGGCCCACTTTTCTCTTTTTATGGGAGACATCTCTTGACAAATGGCATGCGGAAATCGCTGACAATCTGACAATCTAGACGCTGCTGACCTTCCACAGCCAATATATTAAGTTGACAAATTTTCCCCGTGCCCGGGGGGCTTTTCTGTATGAATGGACCGCTGATCGCGGACCTGGACGGACAGACAATCCTTTTAGACTGCCGCATCTGTGCCGCTGTGGACTGCCGCGGACTGCTACTTGTGGGCGCATTGATTGATAGATTTCTGGCAAAAGATAAATATTTACGCACGATTCTTGGAAATACAATTCGGCTGGGCTGGGACATAAAGTTGCCCAAAGACAAGGCCCAACAACAGAGTTTGTTGCCATTTTCCAGTTGAAATCAATTCGGTGGGAGAGTGTCAGTGTCTGTTGGCTGTTGGGCTTTTGTGCGCTTTTCGAATAAATTGATTTTTAAATAATAAAAACCAATCAAATCTCAAGCAGCTAAATGTATCTGTCAGATAGCAAACACATGTCCCAGTGGCTGTTCGTGTGTACGAACAACAAGTTGTGTGTGTGTCGTCGTCGTCGTTCCGTCTGCAAAGTATAACTCATAGTTCAAATGGATTACCTCTTTCAGTCCTCATCCTTCTTGGTTTTTTTGTTGTCTGCTAAGTGCCAGGCGGCCCATTTCTAACAATATATCTACATATCTGCGACTCTATATACATACATATGTATGTATGTAAATATGTGTATATGCATATGTGTATTTATAATAATAATTTCATTCTCTGCTCGCCGCATGAAAAGACAAAATCAGTCAACAAGAAATTTATGATACCATGGAAAATTTGAAATCCGCCGCACCCCACCCCACCGCACCCCACCGCACCGCACCGCACCACGCTGCGCCGCTCGATCTCTGTAAACTTTTTGAAGCCAGCCAAATATCCGAAATTTTATTTCAACAAAATCGAGCGAGCGTATAAGCAAATATTATAGAAATTATTATTTGGCACTATGCCCAGATCGAATGTGCCCCTCTCCCCATCCCCCATGTGCTGCTCCTGCTGCTCAAAAGACTCGAGAGGCTGTATGGGAGGGACACCCCAGACACACATCGGAATCGTCCGATGGGCTGCGCCCATGGTTTGGCTTTATTTTCGCATGCATGTCGCGGCGTTCTCTCAAACATTAAATGTGCATATAAAATTGCGTTATAAACAGCAGTTTTTTTTTTTCTGTTCTGGTCTGGTCTGTTTCTGTATTATTAATAAAAGTGACCTAAAAATGCAGCTTGCATCTGGCAGATCGAACTGCATCCATGCATACCCTACAGTTTCCACATTGAATTTATGTTCGATCTCTGGTAGCCTCCACCCCCCACCGCCCCCACTGTTGCTGCTGTTGTCACAATTTTTGTGGCTTGTAAATTGCGGTGTAAAATCTTGTCAACAACAGAAACAGCAGCAACAGAAGCAACAGCATGAACAGGAACTGCCACTGGCACGGGCAGGTGGGTTGTTGGCCAATGGCGAACATGTGCTTTGTAAATGTCATGAATCGCTTAAATTATGAGCAGTGCGGGATGGGGAGGGGGACGGGGGAGGGGGGAGATGTCACCGGATGGAAATTCGATGGGGCAAGGTGTGGCTGTAGCTGTGGCTGTGCCTGTCCCTGTGGTTGTGGGTCAGTGGGCGACTTCCGTGGTGCAGTTCTTTTGAATTTTGTGTCTAAATTGATCAGCGTACACGCAGATGATCCAAGAGCTGAAATCTGGCAATGGCTCTCTGTTTGTGTTGAGGGATTGTCAGTGTGCATTAAGTGGGAAATATAATTTAGACAGCCTCTATTAGTAGTCTCCTTGTCATTAATTAGTTTACTCATTCGGCACTCATCGAGTGACCTGAAAAACGCTGCTTTTTGCTGCTTTTGTTTGCTATTATTTACAAAAGCTTTATGATCAGTTCTCAATGTGGACTTGATGTTGTTTAAACTTAAGCATCTTGCTAGTAGATTATTTTTAACCTGGCCTCCATGGCTTGCATTGTTTCCCCGTGTCTCTCATTCCCTCGTTACCTCGTTCCCTCAGTCAGTGTTCCTTTATTTATGCATCTTTAAACAAACTTTGCTTAAATGGAACTGTATGAAACGCAATTAACTTTATTTAACTTGCAACGCCAGCTGCTGCAGCAAAAATCGCAAAAGTGTGCCAAGTTTATACCAGGAGGGGGTCGTTTATTCATTTCCATTTTCCATTTACATGCCGCGATTTACAGTATTTTAACGTTTTTTTGTTGTTTTTGTTTTGGCACAAATTCATGAAAAGCTGAGATGATTTTTATTTATTTTTGGGCAAATTAAAGGCATCCATCAGAGACAGAGACAGAGCCAGAGCCAGAGACAGCATTGCATCCATGAACGCTGTCGCGCCACATGAAATTGTCTCCTGTCTCTCGTCTTTGGGGTCTGGTCTCTCGTCTCTGGTCAGTTGGTGTGGCATCGCATCGCATCGTTAAATAGAAAGTTTTATGTATTATGTAAAATATGTTTCTTCGCCTTTTTTCACGCACTTTTTCCCAGTTGCATCTTTTGCCGGCCGCTGCTGTTGCCTGCTGCTGCAACTTTTATGAAGGAGTCTGCGTCTGCGTCTGCCGCAAAACAACAGGTTTGGCCACAACTCAGCCAGACTTTAATTGTTGTTGACTGGCTTTGCTCTCTAGTGTCTGTGCCTTCGTCTGGCTTGGGCTTTGGCTTTGGCTCTGGCTCTGGCTCTGGAGCCGTGGCATCCACATCCACATGCGTCTGCGCCGCTTGTTGGTTGTCTGCTCTGCAGCTGTCACAATTTCACTTTGGCCAGAGACGGTGTTTAGCAGCCTCTGCCTCTGCCTCTGCCTCTGGCTCGGCGTCAGGTGCGCGGTGCTGTGCCGGAGGGCAGTACGGGGCAGTAGTAGCGGCACTTGCAGCAGTTAAACTGTCGGTAAAAGCACTTTCCTTTATGCTAGACGAAACTGCACTGGAAGTGGCTCGTGTATGAGGTGCTAAAAGATCGTTTTGAGTGGTGCCAAGCACCAGCGGAGTCTGAAGATGCCACTCACACGGGGGAGTGGAGTGTGTGGAAAATAGCTGGAAACAGAAAGTAGGGATTGCTTTTACGGTTACTTGTAAATGCTATGACTAAGACTAGGATAATGCACTAAATCATCAAATGTTTAATATCTAGGACACCAGAACCCCCTACTGGAATGCCCCAATGGTCCCCAAGTCATTAAACATTCTCAGTCGAACTCTACACCATTAAAATGTGTAAATATTTAAAAAGAAACTATTTTCTTCCAAATCATTATACCCACATTCCTGTGGAAAACTTTTACTTTTTGTTATTGTTTCATGATGGCCATGTGCCATGCATGACTGCAGATCTGCTGCCCTGCCCTGCCCGGCCCAAATATTTTTTCAAACATTGCGAACGGGAAATAATTTCCATACTTTCCACAGCCCCCTCCACGCCCATGCAGAATGGATGCCAGTGTCTGCAGTAGTTCTCGCTTGAGTGGGGGGGGGGGGGGGGGGGGTTCCCCGCTCCACTCCGCTCCGCTCCGGTCTGATACGATCTTCACCCATAAAAGCATCCCTCATTGGATGTAGTTATATCTGGTTGATTTATATCGTCTGGCATATTTCGCATATTTATTCATCGTTTATCCAAATATAGAATTGGAATCCGAAGCAATTGCTAAACAACATTATTTCCATCTTGTTTGGATGGAGTGAGAGATATTGCCTTTCCACCCAAAATATATATCGTGTATATTTTTTATTATTATGAGCTGATTATTTTCGATTGTTTTTCTATGCGGCCAGGACTGTCCAAAGTTCGATATGGGGGCTTTCTCTGGTTAAATTCTTCTTTATTTATCATTGAGAGAAGAAAACGGTATAGGAATTTCTGAAATATCTTTGGCTATATTTTGGAATAAAAATTGGAAAAACTTTCGAATCATTGACTCGTTACATCTCTGGCAAACATCAGCAATCATTTTCGAATCACCTTTCCCCTCGCGCCGTAAGCCCTGCACCTATGTATAATCCCATTTCGTTGCTGATTCATTCCGACTACGTAATCGAGAAACCAATTTGTGTACAACAAAGGCGCACAAAATTCATTAATTACAACATCTGAGATTCATATTTGATTTGCACGTGTAATGCTTTCGGCCCACCCCCTAAACAGGTGCACTCATATGGGGCCGGCCATAGAGGGGCCACACCCACTATCCACACCCGACTACTCACTACCCACTACCCACTTCCCACGCCTACTGGCGGGTTCCCGCTTTTGTATAATTTCCTGAGGAAGGATGGGATGGCGGAGGGGGAGGTACGCACGTGGCACATCCAATAATTGTAGCGGCTCTGCCGATATTTGGTGGCCGAGTTCAATAATCTGCTCACTCTTGCTTTATTACATTGAAAATCATGGCTAATTATTGTCGGCCCGAATGGGAACATGAAGAGCACATCGAACACATCGAATCAGGCATCAGCATCAGGCATCAGCATCCAACAGCAAACGTGCTGAAAAACTAAAAGCATCTGCAGAAAGGAAAACTTTTCCCCACTCTCATTGGTAAAATGATTGCGTTTCGGCATTTGATTTATAAGACAAATCAATTTGTAGCAGTTTTGTTGTTTCGCCATGCCATTACTCGCTAAACAGCGAAACGAAACAGAGAGAAAATGAATAGAAATTTTCCTCTCGGTCTTGGCCTTAGGTACGAGGTAATGAGAGATGCTAGCACGTTCCACGTTCCACGTTTCCTTTTCTGTCAGTTACTCTCCTCAGTCTTGGTCACATTCGTTCGCCCCGCAAGTCGGACGTTAGCCCAATTAAAAATTCAAGGTTGAGAAAATCTGTTGGGCGTGTAAGGCAACACCCCAGCAAAAGGCAAGCCAAGCCAAGACAAGCCCAGCCAAGAGCTTGGTTTTGTAACCTCAAAACGTGCTCAAAAGTGAAAAAAGTAATTATGCACCGCACTACCCATATGTACATGCTTACATACACACAGACCATTAGCCATATCATTTACAAACACTTTAATGGGGCATGCCCCGATATTTAAGAATCTTGTTTGCGGTTTTTTTGCTTGAATTCATTCGGAAAGGAAAACATATGTACATTTGATACCCTACTCATGCCTTTTCTCTGTTCTCCCTTTCAGGCACTGGCACCTTTGGACGCGTGTGCCTATGCCGCGATCGTATTTCGGAGAAGTATTGTGCGATGAAGATTTTGGCCATGACCGAAGTCATTCGTCTAAAGCAGATTGAACACGTCAAGAACGAGCGGAATATATTGCGCGAAATACGACATCCGTTTGTCATCAGTTTGTAAGTACAATATATCCAAGGAAATATATATCATAAGTGCACATACAATCAACAATAAATCATTCAAAAGAAGAGGGAAATTCACTTGTCAATTTCCTTTCTGTGATTCCATTAACGTCATATCTCCTTCTCGCCTCCCCCCTAGGGAATGGTCCACAAAAGATGACTCAAACCTATATATGATCTTCGACTATGTCTGCGGCGGCGAGCTGTTCACATATCTGCGTAATGCAGGCAAATTTACTAGTCAAACTTGTAAGTAGAAAACCTACATATATTCTGATTCCTTCCCGAACTCCAGGCTACATAATCTATTGCCAATCCGTTTAGCCAACTTCTTTGCGGCTGAGATCGTCAGCGCCCTGGAGTACCTACACTCTCTACAGATTGTCTACCGTGATCTGAAGCCAGAGAATCTGCTGATCAATCGCGATGGCCATTTGAAAATCACAGATTTTGGTTTTGCCAAAAAATTAAGGGACCGCACCTGGACCTTGTGCGGAACGCCCGAGTATATAGCACCTGAGATAATACAATCGAAGGGCCACAACAAGGCCGTGGATTGGTGGGCATTGGGTAAGTCAGATCAAAAATAAAAAACTCAAATTGATTTAACTAATAATTGATAACATTTATTGTAGGTGTTCTCATTTATGAAATGCTGGTGGGCTATCCACCATTCTACGATGAGCAGCCCTTTGGCATATACGAAAAGATATTGAGTGGAAAAATCGAATGGGAACGTCATATGGATCCCATTGCTAAAGACTTGATCAAGAAGCTGTTGGTGAATGATAGAACCAAGCGACTGGGCAACATGAAGGTGAGAGGAAAAGAAGGCGAACTTCTTGAAGATCTAACATACGATGTGAATAAATAAACGATTATTGCCAGATCAATTATGTTAGGAAGAGGAAAGTTTGTTCAGCTGCCGTTTCATAGAATATCATAGATCCTTTTATATTTTATGTAGAGTACTCAAAATTATTTTTAGACATTTTCAAAGCTGTCATAAGTTTATTTGATTGTTTCTGGTTTCACCTGTTCGATTGTGAAACTCTTCCGACAAGCCCCTATTCCATCCCATCCCTCGGAAAGAGCACACATATTTTGGCAACAAAATTGTTGAAATTTGCAGGCTTATTAAATACGGTATTTATAGAGAATTGTTTACACTTGTCACTTGTTTTGGATGGCCAGGGCAGGGGACTTTGTTGCTGCTGGCTGGCATTAAAAATTGAAATGCATATATCAACCATTAATTGTTGGACATCGCAGATCGCAGTTCGCAGATCGCAGATCGCGGGATCTCGTAGATAGATCTGCACATGCTCGTTGTCAGTTAGCTAAATAAATTCTGTCGAAATCATTTTTCTTTTTCCGCGAGTTTGTTTCTTTCTACTCTGTTCCGTCCGTTTTGTCCGTTTTGTTGTTGTTGTTGTTGTTGGTTTTGGTTAATAGATTTGTCGCGCGTTTCGCAACACGAGCTACGAAAGTGCAAAACGTTATTTACGTCTAATATTTGGTTTTCTTTCTTTCCATGCTTTCCCCTTCCCAGAACGGTGCCGATGACGTGAAGAGGCATCGCTGGTTCAAGCACTTGAATTGGAATGACGTCTACAACAAGAAACTAAAGGTGAGTCCAATTCTGTTCTGTTATGGCCTGTTTTGTTCTCATGGACTCTCTACGTACAGTACATCCCCTCTGTCTCTTGTTTCGCAATTTTCATAATAATAACCATTTTATATTGATTTTCGCGACACACGCTTGGCCCATTTTGTTTGAGGAGAAGGAGGAGGGCTTTCTGAATTAGCAAATGTATTTTTATACATTTTCGTAATTAAAAGCAAATAAACAAATCAGTTTTGAAAATTAGCTATGCCTTTAGTTAATGACCGCAGCGTCTATTTCGGCTGGCTGGCTGACTGGCTGAATGGCTGGCTGGGTGCTTGGGTGGGTGTTGGCCCCCATAAATCTACCGATTCATTCGCAACAAAACGCTCCAAAGGCGAGTGCGAGTGAAATGTAACAAAAGGGGGGCCCATAAGGAGGCGTTAATTGCCCAAAATCTACGCCTCCAGCCGGGCGTGAGAGACACTGCGAGATGCGTCAGAATTGATCGTAACAGATTGTGCAGATTTTTGCACTTATCGAGAGATTTTTCATTGCTAAAACCATATAAGGATAACAGATGGGCAGGCTACAAAGTTATTGAACTGGAATAAAGTATCCACATAAGTGTATTTATTATAAGTTCCACTTTGATTTCTGGATAAATATGATTTCTATAGGGGGATTGTCTTCATCATAATTATCAGATACCCCGATTCCCCAACGATTGTATGCATATTCCATTATTATTTCGGACCCCTTTAGTACCAATTTACAAAACCCATAAATATACAATCATTAAAAGAAATTATAAATCAAAATAATAATTATTTACCCTTGAATTTGTCTCGTTTATTAGCCACCAATTTTGCCCGATGTACATCATGATGGGGATACGAAAAATTTTGATGATTATCCCGAGCAGGATTGGAAGCCGGCCAAGGCAGTAGACCAAAGAGATTTGCAGTACTTTAATGATTTCTAAAAGAAGAAATAAATTGTCGTTGATTTCTTGAAATTATTTTTTGTTTTCTGTTGAAAATTGTTATAATTTTGCGATGGCAAGAACATTCATTATTTATACTGGCAATTAAGTGTTTAAAGTGCTGTGCTAAAGCAATGATATCTAACGGTACGATACATCTACATATACATATACATACATAAAACTATACCTACTATAATCTACGACTATATATATACATATATATATAAAAAAAGATACATACATACATGTACAATAAGCCTAAGTTTATACCCGTAATGTTATTTCTAGCGTGTGACGTCTCTATTATTATTATATTTAATTGTTTAAATGTTCAGATTTCGAGCAATCCCCGCCCCCATACAATACACACACACCCACCCATAAAAGTATAGCTACATTACAGTAGAAACTGTACTATTAAACAACAACCATGAAAATATTAACGTAAAACGTTAACGTTGAATAAAGTGATATAAAATTGAACATTTGTCGTGTGTTTAAAAATACTTATCATAATCATTGCCTTAGATAAATGAAGGCCGAGTAAAGTTATACATTTGCTAAGGGTCGATGTCAGGTAATTATTAACAAAATCGAAATATGTACATACCATGCACTATATAATACGATAACGTATCATATCCGACAGCATATCTTTCTTGCTTTGTATTCTTCTCATTCTTTATACATATACATATTTGCGTGTTATATTCTTTAAGTTTACGGGGGATTAGTTTTCGTCCAGTAAATCTGTCAGTTGGAGGAACACGAGTCAGTCTGCTGAAAGCGTTGATGAGCCTGATCTTTGTTTGACGTTTCCCCTTGCGTTTATTTCGGGGTTCTGTATTATTTATGATGAAAATATCTCAAATACTAGTATATACTTATATTTATTTTATATTGCTTGTATTAATGAATTCCCAGAATATTTATTGTTTCACTTTTTATCATTTTGATCATATTCTTTTTTATTTGCATTTCCCGAGAGCGTATTTGAATGCTTTTAAATTTCAAATTCTTATTTATTCACCATAATCATAGCTAAAGCTATGGTGAGCTTTAGCCAATACACAAACCAAAAGCTAACGCATGCGCCGAACGTGTTCAAGGGTTTTCGGGGGTGTTTTTGCGTCAAGAACCATTTCACTCTCTCTCTCCTTGCTCTCTCTGTATTTTTGCATGCTTTTCAATTCTAGAATTATCAACAGGATTTAAGTAGCAGAGTGTGTTAGGAGTAGGGTAATGAGAGTTAAGAAATATTCAGTATATTCTCTAAATTTATTGTTTTAGGCTTCCACTATACTTCCTATTAGCGGATGTTAATTGCCGAAGCTGGCTCCTCGAACCCTTCTTCGATTTCAAATTCAGTTTATAACCATTTCCGTGAATTCGATTCTGTTTTTCTTTATATTAAGATTTGTTTACAAATCGTGTTTGGTACACAGGGTACGACACGTTTGGAGACGTTTGGTGCTGAGACAGCTAGAGAGAGAGAATGACAGAGAGCGCAGAAGGGAGAGAGAGAGCCAGAGTGGGTGGCTGAGAGAGGGTGGAATCCTACTAAGGCCACCGAAGAGCGCGGCGTTTTTTCCAAGCTTTGACGGTGACGGCGCACAGTTTTATTGACGACGTTTGCCGTGTGGCTCTTGGCCAAAAGAGAGCGGACAAAAATCAGTTAAAATAGTGGCTTCTACTAGTCCCAAGAAAGTCCCACTGTAAACGGCAACGCGAATGAGCAGAGCCCGGAATATAATAAGCAGAAAGTTCTATTGTAAATGCCTTTTTTTGTCTGTGTGTCTCTGTGTGCGTGTGCGTACGTCACGGACCGCGCGCGTACGAGTATTAGTATGTCTGCATATGTGTGTGTGCAGGGGAAAAATCAGTAAAATGTTTATGCAAATCATGCGACAAATGTGCGCCAATTGCGTCCAAATATCGTAAAGTGCATTAAGTGAAACAAAATTATATAATTATCCAGGGATCCAGGTGCAACCGCAAAAGGCTGCACGGTGCACAGTGTCCAGCAGCTGCCTCGACAAAAGAAATAGGCGAAAAAAGCTACAAAGGCAAACCAAAGGTTGCACAGGCTCCTCTCTTCTTCATCAACATCTTTCTCCCGCACGCCTCTCTGTGTGCGTGTGTGTGTATGTTGTAGGTGTAGGTGTAGGTGTTTTTTTTGTTTGTATTGGTGTCTCGTGGCATTCCCCGTTCGTGTGTGTGTTTGTGTGTGTGTGAGTGTGTGGGTGCAACAACGTGAACGTTTCATCCCGGAAGTGATTTGTATAAGGCCGAATGCCTCCTGATATTTTACACCCAAGCGGAAATAGTCGGTATGTCGAGTAATGCATATATATTCATTATTCTATATTCTTACCCATATCCCCATCCTTAAACCAGTATATCTTTATTCCTGTTCCCTTTGTTGGCTGGCCACTCTTTCGTTTTTATGGATTTTTTGTGTGTACATATCGATTTTCAACCAAAAACAACTAGGAAGCAACATGGAACACACCGAACCGAACCATCCAGCCGTACGTCCAGGTTCTCACACACACACACACACACACAAATACACACCCACAATTATTCCAAGGGGCGGTTGGGGGAAACCACAAGCAACCGCAGCTACACTGCAAGAAAATGTGTATTAATTGATAATTATGGTGGATTCAATTCTGGAAATATCATTTCACATAATTCACATAAACATACGAGTAAATACTTTTTTTTGGGTAATATCACATTTAGGGAAAACTGATGCTAAGAGTCACAAATGTTCCACTTTTCGAAATTCCGCTCTTACCTGTAGATTAATCGAATGTCTTTGGTCTATTTTTGCCGCAGTGTACGTCCAGCAAACACTCGCACATGCACAGACACAGGACGCAGGCAGGACTCCTCACTACTCATTTAACAGTATTTATAGACAGTTTTCGCTGCTGCCGTTGTTGTTGCTGTTGTTGCTGCTCCTGTTGTTGTTCTTGCGTTGTTTGCACGAAAAACGAAGTTGAATTGTAGAATTTAATATGGCGGTGCGGATGTGGCTTTTGAGTTTTACGAGTGCTGCTCACCTTCCTCCTCGCTTCCAAGGGGCCCTCTCGATAGGCACTCGAGGTGTTTGGCCTGACGGTGAGGGCATTAATCAAGAGGGCGCCCATAAGGAGGAGAAGGAGCGAGAGCCAGAGGCAGAGGCAGAACCAGAGCAGGCACTTGTGCGGTTGAAGTTGGCCCAGCAAATGGCTAAAACGTCTCCGTTATCAGGTTGTCTTCCAACAAAATATTGATATACAGATAGAGAGGTTGACAGAGGAACCGAGTCAATGCGGAGAGGAAATGAAAAATTGATTGATTTCTTTTTGTAAAAGTATCTCCAAATAAATTGCAATAATGTGTATTTCTGGGGCCATGACGTCATGGCAGACCTATTATGAATATTTTCCGTCTACTTTCCAACCCCAAGCCGATGATCCCCTGTTCTGTGTCTGTTCTTTTCGCTTAGTTTCTTGTGGGCAGAGCATGGCATTATATAGTTTCGTATTTATGGCCGCATTCAACCCTCGAAATGTTGTCAACATTGCAGTGTCCTAATGAACTACTCTCAGACGCTGTGAAATTCAGGCAAGAAAAAAAGACAAGAACAAGAACGAAGGGAACCAGTCGATACAAAAAATGGAAATAGAAGCTTCTGTTTGGAGTAAAGATGAAAGGAGTTTTTAAAGGTAGTCTTTAACCAAGTTCTGATTTCTGAACTTCTGATTCCCAGAACCAATTGTGGTATAAATAGGAGTCGGAATGGTATTTCTCATCGAATTCCAATCCTGCAACATCTTTGACTTCTACAGAACTGTCAAGTGTCCCCCAGAGCAACATTCGGTGATAAATACTACGTAACTTTCTTGTGACATTTGCCCCGCACTGAAGTTGGCAACCCTCAAAAGTTTTCATCGCGCATTTGTAATGCGAAACTTTTTATCAATCATACTCAGGGCCATGCCATGGAAGTTTCTTCTGCTTCTTTTTTCATATCTCACGGATACCAAGTTACTCATCAATAAAATGCCAAAATGTTTAGCTTCGTTAAGCTCAACTTTCCTTCAACTCTACCCAACCCTTTTCCGTCTCCATCTAGTTCTCTATCTCTATCTCTATCTCTATCTGTATCTCCATCTCTATCGCTACTCGCATCTCAATGTCAGGCAAGTGCTCACGTCTCGGGAATCGCTTGCATTTCCAGCATTTTCTATCCCCCCCACTAAAGCCCACTCTGCCTCTGGGAAACCCACGTCAATCTACCGACGAGAGTGGGAAACAATTAAGGTATCCTCTGTCTTTGACTCGAATCCTGCCTGGCTGGGGGCAGGGCTGTTGCTATTGCTGTTGCTGTCGCTGTCTTGGGCAATAAAAAACACTGTCGCGTCAGATCAAAAATGCAACATCTTAAAATATGAGAGCCATTTCAGCTTCCGGCATTACGAGAACATACATATTCTTATTCAGGCATTCTGTGCTCTGTGCTGTGTCCCGTGCTCTGTACTCTGTATTCTGTATTCAGTATTCAGTTTGTTGTTGTTAGTGTTCTGGTTGTTCAATATTTACAACCTGATGAGAGCGATGAGGAGAACGATGTCGCCGTAGCTGAATAAAACATGCGACAATCGGCAGGCGACAATGTCCTGGATGGTAAAGAAGGAAGCGGAGCAGAGCAGAGCATGGCATCCTGATGTGGCTGCTGAAGTTCCAGACACGTAGACGCCTTAATGACCCAGGGGATTACCACGGCGGTAGACTAACAGCGGGAGAGTCGGGTATCGGCATCGGCATCGGTATCGGGAGTATGATTCAGCTCCCTGCTCCATCTGGGAGCTCTCGAAGCTCCAGAAAATGGTGGCCACAATGATCAGGTATGCACTGGCATCGCCTCAGCCAATTAGTTCGGTAAACGCAAACAAAATTGCTAACAATTTCTTTTTGTAATTAAAAAGCTATAAGCGGCAACTAAGAAAATGGTGCCCCCTCTCGTAGGTGAGACGGAAATGGGGGTTCTCAGAGAGAGAGAGAGAGAGCCAGAGAGGGTTCTCGTAGAGACATTGTAGTAGTATTACGAGTAGTGGGGTAGAGAGGAGAGCAGCATTCTTACAGTGGGGCACCTGGCAAACAGAGTGCGAAAAACAACCCTGCGATGAAAACAACAACCACCCACCCATTGGGGCGTGGAGAGAGAGAGAGAGAGAGAGAGTCGGCAAGCACACACACTCTCCTTAAGCTCTCTCTCTCTCTTTCTCTCTTTTAACCCTTGCGCCTGCGCTGCGGCTGCCTGTGGACTCGCAATCACAAATGTCCATTCCCAAGCCTGGCCGAGAACAGCAGCTACCCGCATGGCTTTGTCAACAGAGTTCCGTTTCTAGAGAAAGAAACCCTGCCCCTGCCTTCTCCCCCCTCTCTCTCCCTCTCTCTGTCTCTCATCCACTCCCTTAGCCCCCCCC